GGAGTGGGTGGAGTGGGTGGAGAGAGAGGGGTTGCGCTCTGCTGTGTGTGGGTGTGTGATAAGTATGTAGGAGAGAGAAAGTGCGTGTGATTGTCTGTGTGTTTGTGTGTGTGTGTGTGTGTGTGTGTGTGTGTGTGTGGTGTGTGTGTGTGTGACTTTTCTGTGCTGGCAACAACACACCTCCTCATCGCTCAAAGAATGTCAAAAACCGGCAACCAGCAATACCAAAAGGCGCCGACGCCCTACCCTGCCCCGCTCCCCACCCGGACCCGCACCCATCATCCTTAGGCCCCGCCCCCGCGCACCCTCCAAAACACACACACACACACGCACGCACGCACGCACACACACACACACACACACACACACACACACACAACGCCTTTCTGTCCCCCCTGTCACCCTGCCTCTGGCAGGTCGAGGCCGCCATCGCGCCGCGCGCGGAGGAGGCCGCGAAGGAGAAGGCGGCCGCAGAGGCGCGCGCCCGCGCGCTCGCCACCGCCGGCGTCATGCAGGCGCGCCTGCGCGGCGCCGCGGGCCGCGTCGGCCCCGCGCTGACGTCGGCGCTGCTGTCCCTCGGCTGCGACGAGGTCGGGGCGCGCCTGGGCGACGGCTCCGAGCAGCTGACGCCCGGCGCGGGCTCCGAGGTGCTCGCCGTGTCGGCCCTCATGGCCGGCGCGCTCGCGGCGCTGCGCGGCGCCGCCGGCGGGGCGGGCGCCGCGGCGCGGGAGGAAGTCGAGGAGGCGGCGCGGCTGGTGGAGGCGCTGCAGCGCGAGGTGGAGGCGGCCCTGCAGGCCAAGCCCGCGGCGGCCGCCGAGGGCGAGGGCGCGGAGGCGGCCGAGGCGGCGGCGCCGGGCCCGCCGCCGTCGCTGGCGCCGCTGCGCGAGCTGGCCGCGCGGATCGCGGCGCTGCCGGCGCCCGGCGGCGACGGCGCCGGGGAGGAGGGGGAGGGCGCGGAGGGTCTGCTGGCTGAGATGAGGAACGACATCGGCGTGAGGGTGTCGGAGTCGACCGCCGCGCTGGGCGCGCGCGCGGACGCGGCGGTGTCTGCCATGCGCGACCGCGAGCGCGCCGCGCGCGTGCTGCGGCGCGGGCAGCTCATCATCGCCGACGACGCGTCGCTCGACGCCGCCGCGGCGGGCGAGCGGCCGTCGTCGCCGATCAAGCGGCTCGCCTACGCGGAGGCCTACCTCAAGCAGCTGGGCGGCCGCTCCCTCGGGGGCGCCCTGCCCGACGCGACCGCCTTCCTGTCCGGCGTCGGCGGGCCGGCCGGCATCGGCGGCGGCCTGGACCTGGACCCCGCCGGCGCGGAAGGCGCCGCGCAGCTGCAGACGCTGCTGGACGAGATGTCGCTGATCGATGACGTCATCAAGCTGGAGCTGGGGCCCGACACGGCGGGCGCGCTGACGAGGATAACCGCCTACCTCGACGCCCGCGACGCGGCCGCCGAGGCCGAGGCCGAGGCGGCGGGCGGCGGCGACGCGGGGGCAGAGGGCGGCGCCGTGGCGGCCGCGGTGGTGGCGGTGACGCCGCGGCTGGATAAGGAGCGCGAGGCGGCGAACAAGTGCCGCGAGGCGATCGCGCAGCTGGCTGAGGATCCGCTGGTGCAGCTGGGGCTGTCGACGGCGCAGTACCGCGTGCTGGCGGCGCTGAGGGAGGCGGCGGCCGCGGTGCGCGGCGGCGCGGCCGACGCGGGCGCGTACGAGCGCGGCGTGGGGGCGCTGAGGCAGGTGGCGTCGCAGCTGGGGGACATCGGGGCCGCCATACAGGTGAGCCTGGTGTGGCCTGTGGGCGCCGCTGTGCAGTGTGCAGGCTGTGCCTGGTGGGGACGCGATGAGGGACAAGCTGGCGTGCAGCTGGAACTTTGTTTGCCGGCTGGGTTTGATGTGCGCTTTCAATCTACCGTGCTGGTGTTGCACGCATGGGCCTCGGCATGCAGCGCCCGTTGTGCCTGCCGACACCACAAGCTGCTCTCATGCTCTCGGCTGAGCCCCCCCTGCTCCTCCCCCGCGCTGCCCCTTGCGTCCTCTGCCGCCCCGTTGCTTGCCTCATCCCTCACGGCCCCTCTCCACAACCTCACACGCCCTACGTCTCATCCCACTTGCCTAATGTGAATGCTGCGCCCACCAACCCTCCACCTTTGCGCCCCCCGCCCCTCCCCCTGCCGCCAGGTCAAGGTGGCTGCCACGGGTGATGACGCCCTGAGGGGGGTGCTGGTGGCCCAGAAGGAGCGCGCGGTGGACCTCTACCAGCGCCTGCAGGTGGGGGGCTACGGTGGCCCCAGGGCGCGGGCGGTCAGGGGTGGCTGGGGTGGTACGACGGGGTAGCCTTTTGTGGGTGCTTGGGATCGTATTTGCCAGCAGTGGGCGCCCAGCGTGCGCGAGCTGCATGATCGAGTCGCCTGCCTGTCCGCCCTTCACATCCACTACCCTGGGCGTGATCATCTCACATCCATCTGACCCGCAGGCACCCCAATGACCATCCCACCCAACATCCACCACCCAACCACACCAACGCGCCACCCAACCAGCCAAACGTCCATCTAAGCGCCGCACCCATCCGGCGCCCAACCCCCTCCCACCGAAGGCGTTCCTGTCGTACGAGGACAACACGCGGGCCCCCGCGCTGGCTGCGGTGCGCGCGCTCAAGGCCAGCGCCGACGCGGCCGTGGCCGAGGGCTCCAGCGCGGCCGCGGTGCAGGCGGCGCTCGCCAAGGCGGAGGCGGCTGAGCAGCAGGTGCGCGTGGCAGGCCTTTTTTGGAAGAGGGATGCCCTCTGGGGGGATGGGGCACAGAAGGATGGGGTGGCGCGCCTCCCAGCAGCCTGGATGGCAGCGGTGGGGGGGAGTGAGTTGATGCACAGACATTTGGCAGGGTGCGGCACCAAGGCTCCCTCGACGGTCGCTCGCGTTCGATCCCGCAATCCAAGCCGCAGCTGAAGAAATCGCTCTAGCGTGTGAATACGGTTTCCCCCTCTCAGCCATCCAACGCAAAGCATTTTCATCACTCGAACCTCTCTCCTCAGAACCCCAACTCTTACAATCTCCCAACCCCCAAAACCACCCCCAACCCCAGGTGGCGTCCCTCTACACTCTGCTCGAGAAGCTGCCCTCCCCCTCCTCCGGCGGCGCCGCCCCCGACGCCGGCTCCAGCGCCGACCACGCGGCCGCCGTCGCAGAGGCCACCGCGGCCCTCAACGCCATCGGGGACGCCGCCGGGAAGCTGCGCGCCGAGCTGGCGGGCTACGCGGCCTACGCCACCCTGAGGGAGCGCGCCCTCGCGACGCTCGCGCGCGCGTCGGGCGCCGCAGGGGCGCCGGCGCTGCCGGAGGCTGCGGGCGGCGACAAGGGCGGCGTCGTGGCGCCCCTGGCTGAGCTGGAGCCAGAGCGTGAGCCCCCCGGCAGCGAGGGGCAATCAACGGCGCCCATGTGCCTCCCATTCCTCCCCTGGTCGTGTGTGCTGCGCGTTCTGCAGCTTGTGAGGGGCCGCGCGTCGCATCCCGCCTGTTTCTTGTCAGACGGCCGACACGACCATGAAAACGCGCACTCAACAGGACGACACGGCCCTGCCTGCAGCACACACCCCATCCTCGGCCAAAGACCCAACAGCACTTCCTGCCATCCGCCCCCAACCAAACCCCTCCCCCAGTCAACGCGCCGCTGCGCTCACTGCCCGAGGTGGAGGAGGACGAGCTGGCAGGCTGGGAGGCCGCCGGATTCCGCGCCATCGCGCGCGGCCAGGTGGCCGCCGTGCTCGTTGCCACCGGCCTCGTGCCCGGCGCCGCCGCCGCCGCCGCCGCCGGCGACGCGCCCGCGGCGCGCGCGACCGAGCCTGCCGCGGGGCTGCCGTCCGGCAAGGCCCCACTGCAGCTGTACGCGGAGCGCATCCTGCGGCTGCAGCGCCTGGCCGCGGCGGCGGCGCACGGCGCCAACGCGCCTGTGGCGCGGCCGATCCAGTTTGTCATCATGACGTCACCCGACACGCACGCCCAGGTGTGGGTAGGGGAGGTGTCCCTGCTTGGCCTGGCAGGGGTGCTGCCTGTTGGGGAGAGGTGCCTGCGGCGGCACCCTTCCCCCTGGCTGGGTGGCTGTCTGCATCAACGTCGCTACGTGTCGCAGAGGCGCTCGCTTAGCATGTGGTGCGTTGCATGTGCGGGCAGGGGCAGAGCTTTTCCGAACCCACCGACGCCTTGGAAATTGTCCCCTTGAACCCAGTGTCTTGGAGCGGTTCCCGACCCCCCCAGCCCCTCCTGTAGGCT